TTTTTTTAGGTTTTCCTCATCTGATACTGGGCCAGAAAATTCATTTGGACCATTCCCATCGCAGAGGTCCTGCTCATTTAAAGTGCGATTTGAGGACATTGGTCGCTGCCTCAAGTGTGAATGCATAGTCACTGATGTGTTTGGAAGATCAAGTGAGCTGGCATATGCTGAAACTGCTGCAGTTTTACCAGGTGTGTACTATTGAAAAGCATTAGGATTTTATTTTTGCAGTTAATGGACATTACAAATTCTGTGCTGATGGAAAGGGTAATTTGTATCGAATTAATTTTGCAAAGTTCTCCTTGTTGAGAGGGAAACTTGTAAAAAAGAAAGAAAAATACATTAACTGTGATCCTTGTACTTTCATGCTACATTGATCCCAGCTACTTATATTATGTTTTTTTTGTATAACGTTACCTTTTAGAGTGATCAACTGTTAGGCATGCATCATTGCTCCGTAAAGTGTTGTGTGTGTTGTATTCAGGAGTTCCGAGAATGGACAAGCTGGAAATCGAGGGTCGAGGTTTCCACACAAACTTATATGCTGTGCGTGGCAATTATAGTGGGGGGAAGGAAGGAAAAAGCCGAATTCAGTGGCTTAGATCTATGGTTGGAAGTCCTGACCTCATCTCTATCCCTGGTATAGGATTGTCTTTGTTCTGTTTTGCCCATTAATGTTCACAAAGAAGCTCACTACAGTATTATAAAATCCTAGTGCAATTTAGATACCAGCAAATTAGTAAAACTACCCCCTTGATTTTATAGTAGTTATGAAAAATGTTTTCGAATCCGAATTATCAAAAGGATTTATTTAGTTTTTGTAATTAATCTTAGTGATAAGATGAAATCTATTAGTGGAATTATTGCCAGTGGAAACATGTTTTAACAAGGGAGATGTATATATCAGTTCCAAATTCTTGATTTTATTTTATTTTTAAACATGAGGTTCCTACTGTACCTGATGTGTACCTTTCAAATATTGGTTTGTATGAGCAGGCGAGACAGGAAGGATGTATGAGGCTAATGTCGATGATGTAGGCTACAGGCTTGTTGCTATTTATACTCCTGTAAGAGATGATGGAGTTGAGGGACAGCCCGTTTCTGCATCTACGGATCCTATTTCAGTTGGTAAATTCATGATGCTTTTTGTGTGGACATCTTGAAGGAATAGACTGAATACCTACTAACATTTGCCAAATATGTTCATTCTATTTTTTTTCTTTATCTTTAGCAATGTTGCAATACTTATATAAATTTAATTACAGAACCCGATGTTCTTAAGGAAGTGAAGCAGAAGTTAGATCTCGGGTCCGTGAAATTTGAGGTATATCTTAAGTGTTTCCTCTGAAAGGGCTAATTTTACCTGCCATCATTTTGCACTAAGAAACTTTTACAAGTTTTGCTAATATTAACTGTTGAGTGCCTAATACCCCGAACTTGTATACTATTATTGGTTCTGTTACAGGTTCTCTGTGACAAGGACCGATCTCCTAAAAGGGTATTTGACATATTTCCAATGTTCTTACTAAGTTACATTGGCATCAAGAAAATATATAAACACTATAATCCAAATAACTGCTTTGGATTTCGCTTCATTGCAGGTACCTGGAATGGGAAGTCTCGAGAGAAGAATCTTGGAAGTGAACAGAAAACGAGTCAAAGTTGTAAAACCTGGCTCGAAAACTTCATTCTCAACAACTGAAATTCGCGGAAGTTATGCTCCTCCTTTCCATGTATGTTTTTTTTTTTTTAATTTAATAATTATTTTTACTGAACTCATTATTTCGAACAAGTTCTTTCTTCTTTCTACCAATGCCGTATAATGCATCTGCCTGAATTTGCCTCGTTTAGGTTGAGCTATTCAGAAACGATCAACATCGTCTTAGAATCGTTGTGGACAGTGAGAATGAAGTTGATTTGATGGTGCAGACTCGACACCTTCGTGACGTCATTGTGCTCGTGATTAGAGGTCTTGCCCAGAGATTCAACAGCACATCTTTGAATACTCTTCTCAAGATAGAGGCATAAAAATTCAAAAGGCCTTAGCAATGTGGATGTAAAAATACTCACTCTGTTAGAAAGTGTTCTTTTATTTATTTATTTTTTTTTTGGTTGATTTATTTTTTTATTAAAACCCACACTTTTATTTATCGAGTGGAGAGGTTCAAAGGTTGGAAGGCCTTTTATTCCTGGTCATTTGATTGTGGCTTTTTTTCAATGATTGGCTACAAATATGATTTTTTGTGTTTTGTTATAAAGAGTTCGTGCTGGGTTAAGAATTTTGTGATTTCATGTACAGAAAAAAGAAAATAAAAAAAAAAATAAAATTGTTTGTGCTTTTCTTAAGTTTTTATTTTTCAACCCTACGTTCGCTCATTGGTGTGTAGGTGTGCATATAATTAAGGGAGATGTTATGGTTCCGTTATATAATTATTTTGTCGAGATTTCTAATCGTTAGATAAATTATCCCCGACGGTTACATGATAATTTAACGGTTATAAATCACGGAATGGTTTTGTAACGTCACCGTAACATTTCCCATATCAAATTTTCCGCCAAATCGACACAAAATAGCCACGTATACAAACAAAATAAAATCCAAATTCTGAAATAGCATATACACAACTAAAACAAAACATATTAACAAAAACTAATCATAATTCTTGTTCTTGACTTTAGCATAAAACCAAACTACTTTGCAATCATTAAAAAAAAATAAAAAAAAAAAAATCAAATCTCCTCTAGATTATTGAGACCGTTTTTGTCACCTTCCAACTAAAACAATCAAATATGTACCTACCTTCTTATAGAGGAGGCGCCGATGGGGCGGCGTTGGCCCCTCCACCACGCACCACCACCGCAGTTGTCCCTTCCTCAACCCTCCTCAACTCCGATCCCGACTCCTCCGACTTAGCCGTATCGTACGAAGCATGCAACCCGAAAAACAAATAGTAAACCAACAACAGCGCCGTCCACACCCCAAACCTCACAAACGACTTCCCATCGATCGACCCTAGCAAAAACACATTCACCGCTATCGATGCTGACGGTAGCCACGGCACCATCGGAACCCCCCACTTCTCGGGCCTCCTCGCCTGCGGGACACACGCCCACAACCCCACCGTCGCCAAACCCCACGCCGGCACCGTCACGCAGTACCCGACCCACTTGCCGCTCCCCGCCGTCGCCCAGTAGATCGCCGTCGCCACTGACGACCCCAAAATCACGACGAGGCACGCCACAAGCTTGTTCCGATCACTCACCAGCGTCTCCCCCGCCACGTAGTACCTCCGCACAATGAGTGCCACAGCAACAAGCGTGAACACGAAGAGCGTCGAGATCGAGAGAAGGTTCGACAAAATGTTGAGGCTCGTGAAGAACGCGATCACCGCCGTGACGCTTAGGAGCACGATCGTCGCGTTCATGGGCGTCCCCGTCTTTGGGTGGACCTGCGCGAACCAGGGGGGCATCGCGTGGGCCCGGGCGATGTGCGTGAGGTAACGAGCTTCGCCCACGGACCCGACGAGGAGGACCGACGTCATCCCCTTGAGCGCCCCGAGGGCGACGAGGTATTGGGCCCAACTCCAACCCACGGACTTGAAGGCCACTGAGAAGGGAGCGTCCGGGTCGATATTGACGTACGGTTGCATTAGGCACAGGGTTGCCGCCAGCACGCAATATATAACCGTTGTCATCACCATTGAACCGACGAGCCCGATCGGGATGTCACGGGCCGGGTTCTTCGTCTCCTCGGCCAAAGTCGAGACGGCGTCGAAACCGATGTACGCGAAGAACAACACCGACGAGGCCTTGAAGATGCCGCGCACTCCAAACGGAGCGAAGGGGGAGAAGTTGGCAGGGTTGGCTTTTGTGAGGCCGGCGATTATGATGAAGGCGATGACGATGACGTGGACGACGGAGGCAATGTAGTTGAGGCGGGACGAGCCTTTGGTGCTACGGACAGCGAAGAAGCAGATGACGGCGAGCACAACGACGGCGATTGGGTCGAGTTGGTTGAGGTCGTGGGGGAGAGCAGCGGCATGGATACGGAAGGTCTCGGGTTTTTGGTTGAAGAGGGCGGCGAGGTAGGACGTCCAAGAGCGGGCGACGGCGGCATTGCCGACCATGTACTCGAGAAGGATGTTGCCGGCGGCGATGAAGGCCATGAAGTCGCCGAGCTCGACTCGGAGGTATGCGAACGAGCCGCCTGTTGAGTTATAACGATTAGAAAAATGATTAAAATCATGTCCAAATAAACATAGTCTATTGCTTTAATCAAAAGCACTTCCAATTAATTTGATTCATTAATTATAACATCGAACTAAAGTATTTTTGACTGCTATATACTTACAAAAGATTAAAAATATAAATAAATAAAATTAAGACCCAGCTGAAGCCCGCGTACCTGATACAGGGATTTCGACGGCGAACTCGGTGTAGCAAAACACTGAGAGCAATGCCGAGATGCCCGAGATGGCATACGACAACACCACGGCTGGGCCCGCATCCTGACGGGCCTCGAGGCCCGTCAGCACGAATATCCCGGCACCGATAACCGAGCCCATGCCAAACCATATGAGGTCCCACCAGGTTAGGGTCTTCTTCATCTGGTTCTGGCTCCGGCCCTTCATCTCCAGCTCAGCCTCGACTGTCGACCGGGACAGGACCCGGTCAGCCAGCCGAGCCGGGGTCTGCCTAAGCGCATTAACGTAATTGCCCCAGCTTTTGAACGACTCCTCGGGGAGAAAATCGTCTTTCGAGCACGAGCAGCCCCTCCTCTTCAAATTGGACTCGTTGTTCTCCATACCTATCTTAATTATTCAGTACCTGGAAATAATAATCATAATTTTTATGGATTTATTTCATTAATTTATTGTAACATTAATATATATATATATATATATAGAAAAAATTATTAAACTGTTTTTATATTATTATGATCAGAATGTGTAGCTGCAGATGCTATAATTCAGCAACTGAATAAATCCTGATAAATCTCTACCAAACTAACCATATTAAAATGCGGCCATGGTGATAATTCAAATATATTTTATTTTAAATCGAATTAATGAAAGAATAATAAATATAAAAAAAAAAATACAACGAAATTTTCAACACTGAAAAGATCAAATGCAGTATACGGCTTGATTTTTCGGTTTCGGCTCGATTTTGCGCACTCGACTAGCAAGTATTGATATTTTTGAGAGAGAGAGAGAGAGGGAGAGAGACCTGAACCGGAGATCGGTGGAGAAAAACGTGGACCGGCTAATGGCTATACTATTTCACGACGGTATATTAGCAGAGAAGAAAAACAAGAGGTTTGATGGATTTGTGAATGAGCAGACGATTGGTTATTATTATTATGATATTTATATAATGGAGAGAGAAGCCTTTACCAAACTCCTCTGGTTTTGGGAAAAATTAAAAATAAAATAAAAGTAAAGAGTTTTAAATCAATGAAATAATGAACTAGTTATTATTATTGGGTTAGGATTATAAAATCCCGCTGCTTCTCTGCTTATGACACTTCGGAATCTTATGTGGCAAAATTATATGTTGTTATTAGACTTTGGTAAAGTTTAATTTAATTCCAAATTAAAAATAATTAGGTTCAGATTACCATAACTACGTTGATTATTTATGGTCATGTTATTTTAATATTATTCTTTATTATAACTATTGAATTGTATATGTATTTTAAAAGTTAATAACTTTTGTATTTTTTATCAGTTTTACATATGTAATATATCGAATTAATCTTCTTTCGATGAGTTTCGATTTAATATCTATATTGTATGTATAAAAAAATAATTTATATTTATCTTTATAACAATAATAAAATTATTTTTAGTATTAATTAGAAAAATAAAATTATTTATCAACTAATATATTTATATTTCAAGTAGTTATATGATATAAGTTATAAAAACTAATATAATATAATGCATGTAAGTCATAAGTAACACATATCATTCTAAAATATATAGTAATATATTTTTTTTACTAAAAAAGTAAACTAAATTTAATATAGTTCTCTCACAAATTTAAAATTTAAGAATAATTTTTTAACAAGCACCCGTGTAATACACGGGTGTTGTACTAGTAGAGTTCTAATGAACTACGGCTATATTATATAGATATGCAAACTATTATTAGGAAAAGGAATATTTAATAAATTACTAATTTAAATAATATAAGCCTAATTAAATACCTTATTTAGTTAAATAAATAAATGGTACCACAATCCTTTATTTTTTTTGAAGACATAGTCAAAGTAATCGAATATAAATAAATAAAAATAGGCAGATTCATACGCAATAATAATAGGGCGACGAGAAAACATTACTCCCAACTAGTTATAAGGTGTAAGGGGGCGATTAGATATGAATTCAAGCGGTTTTGATGGGTTTTGTTTGATTAAAATTAATTTATGTGAGTTATTTTGAATAAAATAAATTGAGTGGATGATATTGAATTTGAAATTAAATAATATTTAAAATGTAACTATTAAAGTGATGAGATATAAAAATTATGAGAAAATTATTAGATGTGGTAGGTAATTGAAAATTAAGTAGAATAGTGAATTAAGGTGGTTAAAATTATTTTGGTTGAATAATAATGAATTAAGGTAGTTAAAATTATATTAGTGGATGAATAGTTAATTAAATTAGTTTGAAGGGTAAAACCGATTGATCGTACTATCTAATTGTATTTGTAAAAAAAATATGAAGATGGTTTATTGAATTTTGAATTAAATGATTGTATAAAAAATAACTCAATTGGTTCAACTCATATCCAATACCAATACGAATAATAAAACACGCTTTTATATTATAGGTAAAATCAAGAGACGCCCATTTTTTTAACATGAGTAATGCTATAGGTACATAATGTTGTACATAGAGGTGTACATAACACTCACATTAAGTGGGACTCACTAAATTTAAAAAATCAAGTGGACCCACTCCACATAATGTTATATACATCTTTATGTACTTTTATTATGTACATGTAGCATTTTTCTTTTAACATATACTAAGTTTTTCACACATAATTTAACTTTTTTATTATGGAAATAAACTGCAGAATCGTGGACTTACCAACTCTGGAGTATGAAAAA